GCGCTGTTGTGCGCGTGCATGTGTGTCCGTGACCTGTGTGTGTAGAGCATCGGAGAGTTTCTGATGCAGCATTTCAAGAAGTACTGTTCCTGCCCACTCAGCACGGTTGTGAAATCGCTGTGAGCAGAGACGCGGCTCGGTGAAGACCCGCACACTTCGGTGAAAGGCCAGCTGGGGTCCACGTCGCGTGTTCTTTGGCTGCCGAACGGTGCACTGAGCCGGAAGATGCATACTGTGGAATTGACTTTGCCGTGCACGGTCCCGTGGTAGTTAGCGTGTTCACGTAGTTAGGGAGCTGCCACCACTATCACAGTAGAACATTTTCGTCCCCCAAAAGAAACCCCCCATCAGCGGTCACCTCTCAAATGCCCTCCCCGGCCCCCACGAGCCCCCTCCCCGTCCGTGGAGAAGCCTGTTCTGGAAATGTTGCCCTGTGGACTCACGCCCCACACAGACTTCTGTGTCTGGTCCCTGCCCTGAGCATCGTGGGCTCGGGGACTGTCCCCAGGGCGTCACCGAGGGACGTGCATAGAGGGACATTGAGGTTTCCGGCTTTTTAGCCAGTGTGAATCGTGCTTCCGTGGACACTGCGTGCAGGCTCGTGTGCGCAGACGCGCATCACTTCCCTCGGGTAGAGCTCTAGGACGGGGGTCTCTGGGCTGCACAGCGACTCCACATGTAACATGGTGAGGGACGTGTTTCCGCAGCAGCAGCCACGCCACGTGTCATTCCCGCCAGTGGCATGTGAGCTGCTCGGTGCTCCACCCCATCCCCGGTGCCGGCTCTCACCCGGCTCTCGATGCCGTCCTCGTGAGTGCGAGCTGCCGTCTCATTGGTATCTGCTTTTTATCTTCGGTTCCTTAGTGATGCTTTCGTGCTCCTCGGACAGTGTAAAATTCATCTTGGCTGGAGGAGAGGATGCAAAACTGGCCAAGAGCCAGACGCGCCCCCTGCGCCAGAGTTGGCTGGCCTGCCCAGCAGTTCACACAGGCCAGGTCGGAGGCTCCCCGGAGTGGGTCCACGCTGGCGTCCCCCCAGCCAGGGCCCCGCTCACTCGGAGGACTGCCTTGTGTTCCAGATCCAGTGTAAGCTGTTCGTCTTTGACAAGACCTCGCAGTCGTGGGTGGAGAGAGGCCGGGGGCTGCTCAGGCTCAATGACATGGCATCGGCCGATGACGGGACGCTCCAGTCCCGACTAGGTGAGTGCAGCGCGGTGTCTGTGCAGAGGCCCGGGATGGCACAGACCTCTTCCCGAGGCCCAGGAAGGCAGGATCCCCACGCGGGTCCCCACCAGAGAGCCCCAGCACCCGTGGCCTGCAGGCCCGGGCCCCATCCTGAGGCCCTCGCTGCTAGCTCTTCCGTGACTGTCCTCTTTATGAGTGTGACGGTAAATGAAACTACCTACTTAGCAACTCTTGAACGTGTTTTCTAATAATTAAAGTGCTGGTGGTTTTATGATGGAAAGGGAAAATAAGAAATCCAACAGCCCCATACAGCCTGTGGTCCTTGCCACACACCTTCCCCAGCCCATCCCAGCTGCTCCACGCGTGCCTTAGCGGTGGGCCCACAGGGCGCAGGGGCCTCAGGGAGTGGACACGGGGTGGTCAGTGGGAGCCCAGGACCCCACCCGCAGCCTCCCTGAGCTGGCCACGCTGCTGCATCTGGGGCCCCGGGTTGAGGTGGGGAGAAGTTGGCTGGCGGGAAGCCAAGGTGTCACCGCCATGTCCATGGGGTCAGGGCACTTGCTGGGAGGATGGGCTCTGATAAACCAGGCAGGCTGACGTGGCCTTGGGTAGATGTGACACATACTTCCAGAGAAGGAAGAAGGTCTCAAGAAGGTCTGTACCCTCTTTTTCTCCACTGTCTGTCTCTGTCTCGCTCTTGTTGGAAGCTCTAAGCAGCCATTGGCCTCAACATTTTTTCTAAAAAAATTGCAGAGTAGAGGCTGGGGCTCGGCCTGTGAGTGGGACAGTCAGGGGGCATCTGCCTTCTAGGCAGCGTGTCACATGACAGTGTCACAGCCCCCAAATGTCCCTCTCTGGCCCTGCCTCCCACCTAATCATCCCCCTTCCCCAAAGGAGCCGCCATCCTGGCACCTGCTGGGTGGACCAGCAGAACCCTCCCCGTGGCGGACGTGGCTATGAGGGAGCTGGGTGGTACGGGGCTGGCCCCCAGCATGTGGGGCTCAGCAGACAGGTGGACAGCTTATGTGGACCTTGAGAGAACTGCGGGGTTTCGCCCTCGTGGTGTTTTCCTTTCCAGAATATGTCCGTTCTCCTAGCTGGCTGTGGGGTGGGGGTCGGGGCCCAGGGCTGAGTGGCCTTGTCCGTCGCAGTGATGCGGACCCAGGGCAGCTTGCGGCTGATCCTCAACACCAAGCTCTGGGCCCAGATGCAGATCGACAAGGCCAGCGAGAAAAGCATTCGCATCACAGCCATGGACACTGAGGACCAGGGCGTGAAGGTTTTCCTGATCTCCGTGAGTAGCCCTGGGGACGGGACAGGCTACTACCGACCTCCTGGGGAGAGGAAGTACCCGGCCCGGCCCCTGCAGGACTGCAGTAAGCACTGCCCCTCGGGGGGTGCTCTGCACCGGTGGCGTGGGCCAGGTTGTGAAGGAAGAGGCCTCTAGGCCGGCCAGTTTCCAGAGGGGTCCGTGGAAGAGAGACAGGAGTGGGCCTGCATCACCACGGGCCTTCCCAGCTGCGAGCTCTGAGTCCCTGGGAAGGACTGGCCCGGGGGCACCTGGAGCTTCGGTCCACTGTCCCTGAGCTTGAGGAGAGAGGGTTAGGCTCCTCCCCAGACTCCACCGGGGACTATGGGATCCCATCACTGGGGGGCAGCAGCCACCCTGACCAAGAGATCTTACAGCCCGCCACTTCCCTCCGCCTGTCCCAGGCCAGTTCCAAGGACACGGGCCAGCTGTATGCAGCCCTGCACCACCGCATCCTTGCTCTGCGCAGCCGCGTGGAGCAAGAGCAGGAAGCCAAGATGCCTGCCCCCGAACCTGGGGCAGCCCCATCCAACGAGGACGACAGTGACGAGGACGTCCTGGCTCCATCAGGGGCCTCTGGAGGCGGTGAGCCAGCGGTCCCGGCCCTGGCGGGGACTGGGGAACCTGACCCCAGGGGACGGGGCTCCAGCCAGGGCCGGGACCTGACGCTGAGGCCGCTGCTTCCCACAGGTGCCGGCGAGGAAGGGGAAGGGCAGACGGCCGGAAGCACATAGCGCCGGGAGCCGGCCGCCCGAGAGCCTGCTGCTTTGTCCGTCTGTCTGCCCATCCGCCTGCCCCAGCCCGCCGGCAGTGCGGAGGCGCGGGGCTCGGGAACCACACTCCCCGCTGGGTTGGCCACAGTTCGGATCCGCATGTCCCGTTCAGAAGCAGACCCGGGAACTGCCTGAATGTGGTTTGGGACACGAGACCTCATCATATTGATGAGCAAAACGAAAAAGAACATTTCTTCCCTCCCCCTCCTTTGAATTGAAATGGCACATTAAGACTTGTCACGGCTTCTCACTGGGACTGGGACGCCTTGTTTCTTCACCCCCCCTCCTCATGTCCCGGCCTCTCTGCCGCCGCTGCCCGCCCAGGCCACCGGGTCTGTCCACACGAGTATAAACACTGGGCCTGCTGGATGCTCTGTTAACTACCGTATCCAGTTTCCCACACTCTGATCCGGGGCTTGTATTTTTAGATCTTTTTCCCCCAAGGCTTTGTGTTTGGTTTCTGAGGTTAAGACTCTCCTGTGCATTGAGTGGGCACAGCTCCGTCCTGGGCCACGTCCTCCTCCCGCCTGAGCTCCTGGCCTCTGTGCTGGGGTGGGGTCAGGCCCCGACTTGTTCCCCACCCAGGCTTGCTCCAGGGCCGGTCATGGGTTATTGAGGGGTTGGGCTTCAGACGTGCAGAGAGCTTATCTAAAAACAGGGTCACTGGACCTGGGAGGGTCCCTACCTACCCCCCTGCCTTTCCCCGTCATGTCGGTCACCCATCATCTGGCGCCCAGGCACAGACCTTCTTGCTGCTGGCCATTCCTTGCCCAGCCCTGGACGATGTCACTGCCCCCGAAACCATCCAGGACCAGGGGCCTCTGTGAGAGGCAGAGGAGGGAACTTAGCAGGGCCTTTGGGCGGGGGGGGGGGGGGGGCTGGTTCCAGACAACCAGCCGTCTCCCACACTCGCTGCACACACAGGAGCGTGGCCAAGAGCCAGCCGGCCTTCACCCACCTGGGGCGGCATGTGAAGAAGGGCCCCGTGTACAGGGCTCCGAGGATGTTCCGAGGACAGTGCCCAGCCCCACCGTCGGTGAGCAGAAGGCTCTGTCTCCACAGCTGTGCCGCCCACACCTCAGCTTGCTCGTGCGCAGCCTGGGCCCCGGGAAGACACCAAAGGCCCTCCCAGCAGACCCAGTCACACTTCTCTGCTTTAAGCCTTAGCCAACTAGTGACAAGTAAAACCAGATAACGCCCATGTGTTTTGGAACATTTATGTAAGATTGTCATATGAAATGTATTTGGGAACTACATTAAAACTTTTAACTAAAACCCTGGCCTCCCGCACGCCCCAGGGGCCTCCGGAAGAAGCCGGACAGCCCAGCCAGGAACAGCGTCCGCCTCTCAGAGCCTCCTGGCCTGTCTGCAGGCCCCAAGCCCCCCCGCCACCCCACACCCCAACTCCGGGCAGGTGGCTAAACCTGGCTGCTTTCCAAAACTGGCCGGCTCCAGGCTGAGCTTTGCTTCACAAAAAGGCTGTTTGCTTTCCTGCCCAGGGGCTGGCTGGCTCCCGGGGTTGGGGGTGGGGGGGCAGCTGCAGTGGCTCTGTGAGGCCCAAGGTCTGCATAGCCTGGACAGAGACAGCCTTGCTCCCTGGGGTCCTAAGACCTGATCCAGCCAGTCCTGGGGCCTCCACCTTGGGCTGAGCCCGAGGCCCTGGCTCAGGGGGCCAGGGTGGGGGCCTATGCTCTGGGGTGGGGGCGGGGGTGTGGCTGAGCAAGTGTGTGTGGCTCACAGCTGCCAGGCACTGGTCATCATGGCCACAAACTCCTCATCTGTGTCCATGGAGGTGCTCACGCCGCTGTAGTAGTCCTGGAATTCGGCCAGCGTGACCTGGAGACAGACAGGCTCTAAGCAGGGACCAGAGACCTGGGCGGAGGGTGGGGGGCTGTCTGTGGGCACCCACCTGCCCGTCCTTCTCGGAGGAGTCGAAGTTGTCCAGGAAGCGGCGGAGCACCTCCTCCTCGGTCCACTCCCCACTTCGCACCTTGGGGTGGGCGCGGCCACTGTACACCCCCCGGAGGTCGTCCACGGTCACCACACCATCCCCGCTGCGGTCCAGCTTGGCAAAGGCAGCTGCAGTGACTGCCTCCCGAGCTGGGGACATGGGGGGCTGGAAAGGAGCAGGGAGTGAATTGGGGGGGGTCTAGTGCACCCCAGTCTGGGGCTCCCAGGCACCCAAGGTCAGCACAGACATCGGCAAGCCCACCGAAGCACCCCCCGCCCCCTCCAACAGCAGGGCGAAGGGCTTCACCCGCAGTGCCCTCAGGAACTCCTCCAGGTTGAGCAGCCCGCTGCCATCACGGTCCCAGCGCCTGCACACGCCCTCTGCTTCGGCCACGTCCAGCACCAGCCCCAGCTCAGCCAGGCCCCGCTGGAGTTCCCCCGAGTCCAGGGTCCGGCTCCTGTCCCGGTCCAGGCGGCGGAAAAACCTGAGGGATATGGGGCACAGTTAAAAAGTGGTCCCTGGGGCTAGGGGTTAAGAAGGTGTAAGGGGACGGCTCACCTGGCCAGGCCCTGGATGCCCAAGGCCCCTCGGGACAGGCACTGTGCCCGGAGCTTCTCCACAGTGGCGTCCACAGCATCCATGGCGGGTCGGGCGCTGGGCAACTGGCCGGGGGAGAGTTCAAGGAAGGACTCCCACTCGGCCGACCAGGCTCTGGTCCGGTGCCACGAGCCTGCCTTGTCCACCTGCCTGCTCGCCTGGCCTGCAACGGTCCTGGAGTCCAGACAGCCACTGCTCTGGCTCCTGCCCGTTCTACCCAGCATTGGCATCGCGTCCTGCCTGGCAGGCCTGTTGCTAAGGGATGGTGGCTCAGGAGACTGGGAGGGGCCCCAGCTGTAACCCTCATTGTGCCAGTGCCTCAGAGCTCTAGACACGGCCCGGGGCGGGGCGGGGTTTGGGGGGGCGCAAAGTGGCAGGACCAAGAGGGACAGGGCAGTGCTCTCACTGGCACCACCATCCACACACTGCCCTGGTCACTTCCAGCCTTGCAGTGCCCAGGTCTGGGACAGAGCCAGACCCAGAGAAGCAGTGGGGGTGGTCCCCCTTCCTGGCCACAACAAGGAGGGACGGGCCACAGCCCTACAGTGACCGCAGTGTCCCAGACAGAGGCAAGGCCATGCCAAGGAGGCTCAAGACCCAATTCCTGTGTGACCTGGAGCAGCTCCCCTCCCCTCTCTGGGCTCTACTGGTCCCCTGCCCCTTTTCACAGGGGCAGCAGCCAAAGCGGCCGAGAGATCCAAGTTCAGAAGCCTTGAGGCGGCCCAGGCCCCTGTCCTGGTGCTCAGACCGGTGTGGCCGAGCCAGGACACAGCGGTCTTACAGATTGTACTTGCGTTCAGTCAGACAAAGCAGTTCCCGGTACTTATTCCAGAGCCAGTGTGGGGTTTCTGTCGACGTGGGTCTTTTGGTGGTTGCTTTTTTCAGTTCTCAAACATCACTTGGTGGTCTTGCTCCTAACAAGATGGGGGAGCCGGGGCATTGCGGTCCCAGATGAAAAAGTGGCCCCGGCCCCCCACGGCATCCAAGAAGCACCGAGGCCACCGTCACAGAAGGCCTCCGACTGAGACGCAGACTGAGCGTTCCACCGACTGGCAAGATTGAAAATGACACTGGATTTCCAGGAAGTAAATAAAACACGTGCCCCGTTTGGGGACCCATCTGCCGTAGAGACCCAGAGGTCATCAGAGGCTTTTCAAAGCCTGGACTTGGACACGGCACAATGGTGGTGTCGGAAGCTGCTGCTGCTGTCAGAAACCAGTCCACGGGTCGCACGCAGCCCGGCACTCTGGGTCAGGCCACAGCGGATGTGACACTGTCAGCATTATGCGAAACTGCAGTGACATTCTGGTGGCTCACGGCAGTCCATAACTCTTTGAGTGGGCAGAGAAATACTCCAAACACAAATACTGTGTTTTTGATGAGGCTTATAAAAATCACACTTTTTTTTCCCCATAGAAAAATGTAAAATATCACCACAGTTATTGTAACTCTGCTTTCGCATCTCCTCATTTGAAGAGAATCAGAATGTCAACAGTAACCACTCCGGAAACTGGAAGTGGCCCAGGCCCTCCCCACCCCGGGGCCAAGTGACTTCACCACCCTGAGCCTCACTTTCCATAGCTGTACAATGGGGAAGTCTGGGCTGCAAAGATTAGACACGAGTGCCCGTGACTATAACTTGTGTCCCCCAGCCCAGCAGGACCCCACCCGGGGCCACCTCTCCAGCCCCCACACAGGAAGAAAGGAGGAAGGACCAAGGCGAGGAAATCATCCAATTTATTCTTAAACTCAGGCAGGCCTCAGCCGGCCTTCCCCTCATACAAGCAGCCCCCCTTATTGACCCAGAGAAAATGGGGCCATTGTTACTGCACTGAGGGGTCACTGTTAGACACCAGGCAGGCCGGCAGCACCATCCTGAGGGCTGGGGACGGACGCCCGACCTTTCCAGGCCAAAATGGGCCCTGCCCCTCAGTGGTTCCTGGTGTGACGGTTCCCTGAGTAAGGAGGCGAGAAGACGTGGGACCCGGCTGCGCAGAGAAAGGCACGGGGTTCCCTGGTTTGGTTGGGGGATGGGGGGAAGGCACCCTGAACGTCTCTGGCCGAGAAGAGCAGCATAGAAATAAGGAGTTTAAAAATAGATTCTCCAGGGAATATCAAAAGGAGCGAGCTGTTTGCTAGAAAAGCCGAACCGGCTGGGGCCGCATGAGATGTGCTGGGGGCCCCTGGCTCCCTTCAGGGCCCACAAACCCCATCCTGTTCCTACTGAGGTCCGAGGTCCCAGGGTGCCCCTGGCGCTGGTGATAAAGAATAAAGAACAAGAGTGCTGCCCTTAGGCAGCTTACACTCTGGTGACAAGACAAGCCCTGAAGAAAACAACGGGTAACAGCAGGGGTAGGCAGGGAAGGCCCCCTCCCCCCCCCCCCCCACCCCCGGAGATCACCATACGCAAAGATCTGAGTGACAAGGACTGGGTCATGTGACATCTGGGGGAAGAGCGTCCCAAGCAGAGGGAACAGCCAGCAGAAAGGGATGCCTGAGCTCTCCCTGGGGCAGCACCCCAACCCGGCCGCCAGCATGTCAGCATGTCTCACACCCCCCGCCCTCTTCCGGGTTAAAGGTTGACAGGCAGGCAGGCTTAGGGGAAAGAATCTAGGATTAAAAGTTCATCTTCATATAACCAGTGCAAACCGGCACAAGCCTTGAGGTTCCCAGTTCTTGTCTGGGATGAAGAATAAGAAAGCTTTATCCTGGGGTGAGGGATGCTTCAGAAGGAACAAAAATCGGGGCAGGGGGGAAAGGGGGAGAAAAACTTGACGCCATCCGCCTGCACAAGTGAGGGATCTCAAACTCAGATGCTTCAGGGGCCAGACATGCAGCCCTAAGAGAGATGGGGCAGCCAAGTGGGCCTCACACTTTGGCTAAAGAGGGTACCCTGAGCTCAGATCCAAGCAGGCATGGCCAAGACTGAAGCCAGAAATCCAGATTTTTGTGAAACGTTGCCAATTTTTTCAACAAGTTGATTGATGTAAAGTTTTGTTTAAAAAAAACTCTTTATCTCAGGGTTGTAAGTTCAAACCCTACATTGGGTGTAGCTACAGATTACTTAAAAATAAAATCTTAAAAAAAGAAAGAAAAATTGGAGCTAAATATGCCTTTGGGCCTTGGGCTGCCTGTTTGAAATCTGACTTTTTAGCAGGTTTTGATGCTTGCAAAGGATTATGGCTCTGTCACGGGGCTCCCTCTGGGACACTGGTGACCCCCAAGGACACCCACAGCAGTGGAACTCTGTCTCCATTGTGTAATCTGCGCTCCAGGGCTCACACCGTGGTCCCAAACACTGCAGGCTGCAGGCGGTCCCTGTCCTCCTCTTCCCCAGTGCTGTTGGCAAGGCGTGGACTGAGCCCACCAGGGAGTGGGTGGCTGGGGTCTCTGGTTGGCAGGGGCCCCAGGCGTTCAGCCTCCGCCAGGGCGGCCAGCAGCCCGGCCAGGGGTGGCCGGCGACGGCAGATGTCCTGCAGCAGCTCCGCCCGGGGCTGCAGCTGCCCAATGAGCTCATCCCTCTGGCGTACAGCAGCCTGCAGGCTGTGGACAGTGGCTTCGGAGGTCAGCAGCTGCTCCTGGAGAGCCGCAATCTCACTGGCAGAAGGCAAGACAGGGCAGTTACGGTACTGAGGGGACCAGAGATTCTCCTCCTCCCTGCCCCTGACTTCCCGGGGCTCCCCATCAGGATAAAGGCCACGCTCCTCACCACTGCTTCAAGACCCCCTTGTTATGGATTGAATGTGTTCCCTCAACATTCTTATGTTGAATTCCTAGCCACACCCCACCATGTGATGTATCTGGAGATGGAGACTTTGGGAGGTGGGACCCTCATAGAATTAGCGCCCTTGTAAGAAGGTACACCAGAGAGTTCTCTCTGGCCCTTTGAGCACACAGCAAGAAGATGACAATCTGCAAGCCAGGATCAATCTGTCTGCGGCACTTCCCACGTGAGCAGAAATCTTCAGTCGTTTAAGCCCCCCAGCCTGTGGCATTCTGTAACAGCAGCCAAAACAGACTAAAACCTCCAATTGCTCCCCTGCAATTCCTTTTTTCCCTATATCTTTTCCTAGTTGTTGTTCAGCTTAGATGGCTCCTCTTTTTTTTTTTTTTTTTAAAGATTTTTTATTTATTTTTTTGACAGAGATCACAAGTAGGCAGAGAGGCAGGCGGGGGGGGGGGGGGGGGGGGGCAGGGAGCAGGCTCCCGCCAAGCAGAGAGCGTGACAGCAGGCTCAATCCCAGGACCCTGGGATCATGACCCTAGCGGAAGGCAAAGGCTTAACCCTCTGAGCCACCCAGGCGCCCCCAGATGGCTCCTCTTACAGGAAGCCTTCCATCTAGGCCCGCTCAGAAACCTATGTGCCTTTCCATCACAACCCCAACCACCCAATGTTGTAATTGCCTAGTGATGTGTCTGCCTAAGGGCTGTGCTACGTAGGTCTCACTTGTGTGCTCTAGCGCCCAGCACAGTGCCTGACACAGTAGGTACTCAGTAAAAATGGATGAATTAATCCAACCAGCTCCGTTCCCACCGGGCCCCTGACCTCCCTCCTCCCCGAGCACTTGTCTCATCCCTTTCAATCCTCAGCGCCTCTTCAAAACCAGAGGGGTTCTTCAAAAACGTCTGGTATGATCCCATCCCCCCTCTGCTCCAGAACCTGCCATAGATCCCAGTGCCTAGGAGGTCGGTGACCCCTGCGCCACTCGGAAAAAGCCGATTTTGCATTGTGGAAAAGTGGGCTCTAAGTTAGAAATCTGCACTTGTGTGATACCTCTTAACTTTACGTGCCAGTGACTAATTCGAGGATTTTGGTGTTTTTTCCGATCCCACCAGTAGTCCAGCCCGCACGGGACTGCACACGGTTCCCGCGCCTCTCCTCCCCTTCCAGTCTCGGCTCCGCCTCCGCCCACCTCAGAGAAGTCCACCTGGCCCGCCCCGGGCCTCACCAGTCCTTGGCGCGGCCCAGCTCTTCCAGGGCAGCGCGCAGCTGCTGGTCGTGGCGGGCCAGGCGCTCGGCCTGGGCGCGCACTGTGCGCTCCGCGGCGTCCAGCCGCGCCTCCAACTCCGCGACGCGCCGATGCACAGCCGCCAGGTGTGCGTTCGCCTCGCGGATCTGCAGCGCCGGCGGCGCCGACATGACCCCGGCGCGCTCCCGGGCGGCCCGGAACCGGCCCGGACCACGCCCCTGGGCCACGCCCCCGGTGGGCCACGCCCCCCAGAGGCCCGCTCAGGACCTCGGCGCGATTGGCCGCGACACGATGGGTCGCGCCCTCCTCAAACCCAAACACCCTCACTGGTCCCGGCACCTCGAGACTCCGCCCCTGAGCCCCGCCTAACTCCAAGATTGGCCAAGGTACTGACAGACCACGCCCCCGAGGGGGCTGGTGTCCTCGGCGGCGCGCCCCGTTCAGGCTCCTGCAACCGGACTGGTCCCTCCTTTGAGACAGGCCCCGCCCCACTGAGAAGCCAACACCAGCTTTGGTCTGGGTCTTATGGGCCTAAAAGCCTGACCACGCCCCAGGCTTCGCCTCTCTCAGATCCACCCCAACGGCCACGGCCACGCCCCTTAGGCAAATATACAGCTCTGGATTGGCCAAGTCCCTTTCGGGGCGTGTCTCCGGTTCTGGCCTTGCCCTCAAGTTTAACGCGGAGATTCTCTGGCCCAGGGCTTGGACAAGCCAGCCACAAGGTGGGCACAACTGGTGTCCCGCTAAAACCCTAGCCCTGAGATCGGTACCTTTGCCCGCCCCCGAACCTGGCCACGCCCCAAAATAGTCGCACGCGGTTCAGAGCCCTGCTTGGGGACCGGCAGGGTGTGACCACGCCCCCACGCAGATTCTGGCTCTGGGAGTGGCCACATTTGAGCTGTGCCCCGCCCCAGGGCTACATCTTGCTCCTATCAAGTGGAGCCCCGCCCCGCACCCGAATCTGCGCTTGGAGATAGGCCTAGTACCGGTCATAGCCCGCCCCTGGATTAGGCCCCACCTCCGGGAGTCGACCTTTCCTAACCTAGGACCTTATGAGTTGGAACTACCGAGCTCTTCCTTCACTGAATCTGGCTGACCTCAGTTTCTCCTTGATGAAGTCGGCTGAGGATGCACGCGTGCTTCCTTGACGCCAGTCCCGACTCGGCGCGTGCGCGCCGCCGTGTCTGTGTCCGCGGCGTTCAATAAAGTTGCACGCTTGTTGTCGACCCCTGCGCCCGAGAGGTTGCGCGCGCCGCCCAGGAAGTCTCGCGAGAACGAGCGGCTGCTGCCCTTGGGCGCGGGGAGCCGGTGGGCTTGTGTGGTGAGGGGTCGGGGGTTCGCAGTTATGGCGCGGACGCTTCTTCAGCGATACCTGGACATCCCCGATGGCACCGATTGCCACCGCAAGACCTACGCCAGCACCACAATCAGTGGTGCCGCTGGTGAGCGCCGGCCGGGCCCCGAGGACAGAGGATGAAGGGAGGTCGTAGAATCGCTGGGGGCGGTAACCGGGGCGCTGGGGGTCTCGCAGGTGGTGTAAGGTTGTCGCCGGGGTGTCTAGGGCGGCCCTGGGTTGCTGGGGAGCTCTTGTACGAGATAGACTCTGTGGGGGTGTTGGACTAATTCAGAGGGCGCGGGAAGGCCACGGGGTCACTGGGAGCTGTCGGAGGGGGTGGCAGGAGCGCTGGGTATCTCACGGGGTGACACGTGGTCGTCGTGGGGGTGTCTGAGGCGGCCCTGAGGAACTCTTGTGTGAAGGAGGTCCGGCAGGGTTGGAGGACACCGGGAAGTGGTACGTGTGACAGGCTGGCCACTGGGATCGTCCGAAGCGGTTGCGGGGGGCTGGGATTTGGGGGTTATTGTTGAACCCCCAGGCTCTGGAGAAGTCGTTGAGTGGCAGAAGGCCATTCTTGAGGTCAAAGGAGCTGGGGATTCAGGAGAGTTATCAAAGTTGAGGGTATTTAGGAGAATCATGGGTAATTATTGGTGTGTCTCGGGGCGGGTACAGAAGTTTGAGAACGTTGAGATCAAGTCTTTTTAGGGTTCAGGAGAGTGGGATGGTTAGGGTGATCTGAAGCCTTTACTGAGACCACCAGAAGGGTCGCAGCGGTGCCGAGGAGGTCACAGGTGAGATGGGTCCAGGGCTACTATAAGGGTAGCCTTGGGAGGACAGAAGGGGACTCAGCCCTGGAACTCTTCTGCAGGGGACACCTCAGTGTCTCGCCCCTTCCAGTCTCTCTGAGAAGTAGGAATGACAGTTTTGGCCACCTCCCTGTCTCCAGCTTCTGAAGTTGAGTCTCCCCTGGGAGGCATTGGGATTAAGGGTAATCATTGCTCTCCTTTTCTGAGATCAACGATTATCGTGCCCATTTTTCGGAGGTGGAAACTGAAGGTCAGGGAGGTGTGTTAACTACCCCAGGGCCTTTTCGAGCCGGTGTGCAAATCCACGTCTGCTGATCTGCTCCTGGGGGTGGCTGGGGCAAGGACTGTGCGTGCAGGGTCCCTGTGGAGGGGCCTCAGGAGAGAGAGTAGATGGGGAGTCCCTGGGGATGGCTTACGTGGCATCTGCTTGAGTGGTGATTGTTGGGACACTAGAGGTGTGTGGCAGGGTCTCTGGGGGGCCTTTGGAGAGGGTTGCGCAGTGCTGGATTGGACCAGTGCAGGGGGACGTTATTCTGGCACATTCTTCTAGGAAGATGCTGACATTGGGGAATGCCTGGCAGGACTTTGTGGAGGCTCATGGTTGTATCTAAAGGGGAATTAAAGTGGGGGGGGAGTGGCTTGAGGGGCATGGGGGGCCTTCGGGGAGATTTGGGGAAGTGGGTGGTTTCAGGGATTTTGAACTGAGAAAGACGCTAATGTTGGTGTTTGTGAGTAGGAGTGTGCACGTGTGATCACAAATGTGCAGGCCATGGGGGTGGACTGAAGTCCCAGGAGGCCGTTGGGGGAGACAGAGCATGTTCCAGGAGTGGGGTGCTGCTGAGAGTTAGGAGTCCTGGGGGGCTTGCTGGAAGGTCTTTGAGGGAGTGTGGGTGGGGACTTTTGGCAGAGGTCCGTGCCAGGCGGCTCGGATTTGTGGTGGTCACCGGCTCCCGTGAGCCTTTGAGGGTGTCGCTGTGTGGGTGTGTGTCGCTCACTGCGCCCACCTGCATTCTCTCTCACTGGCCAGCTCCACTCAGCCTACAGGACTTGGCTCCTGGATCCTTCCTTACCTCCCTGCCTCCCCTCAGGCTTCAGTGAGAGAACGCTCTTGTTTCCTGCTCGCTTTCCTGGAGGAAAGGGAGCCTGTACCCGCCTCGCAGAGCTCAGCACCCTGGGGGGGGGGGGCACAGTGACCCTGAATGAATCAAGTGGATGAATGAGTGAAGGCACCCAGTGACTCTTGTGGATGGATGGGTGCTGGATGGATGAATGAATGTGAGCACACAGTGACTGTGACAAGGGGTGACAGCATGCAGTCCCTGTGAAGGAAGGGAGGGATGGGGAGGGCGGGGGCGCCGAGCGTGTTGCACTGTGTCCCGAGGTCACTGCTGGAGGCTGATAGAGAGCCCGGAGCAGGTGGGGTTGGGAAGGGGGCCTTTTGCGGGGTGATGGCGGGCCATGGAAAGGTCTGAGGCAGCAGAGATCACAGTAGAGGCAGTAGAGACCACACCTGTGGTAGGTGACTGTATTGGATGATTGCTAGGAGACAGTTGGGGTGGGGCGGTCTTTGTCCTGGGATAATCGGGGGCTCCCGGGTCATCCACTCCCAGTTCTAGGACTTCCACGGGGATTAGGATGGTGGGGGCAAGGTCTGTGTTTAGCATGGAATGTGAGCTGGCAGACAGGTTGGGACAGGCTGGCCCTGGGAGGTCCCTGTGGTGACTGGGCCATGCCGCAGGTCTGCAGGGAGAGGAGGGCTGTGTTGTCTGCCTGAGCAGGGTCAGCTGGGGCATGGGGAGCTCTGTGTTGGGCTGTTTCTGTTGATTTGGAACCAGCCAGGTGGGCCCTGGTCTGCCCCCCACTGAGGAATTTCTGCCCAGGGCCTTGCATTGGCCTCACCCCAGACCCACACACCAGCCCGGACCAGTGTTTGCTCAGGGTGCCTCAGGACAGAGCCTCGGGCCTCACCACCCACCTGGTATTCAGCTCCAGGCCCAGCCCCTGCCAGGCCCCTCATGCCTAAGAGCCAGTGTTGGGCAGGGAGGCGAGGGCGAGCAGAGATGGAAAAGCTGACCAGAGCGTCGAGGCTGGGTGGGCGGCTGCCGAATAGCCAGGTGTGAGGGATGGGCCCAGGCCCGAGCTGCCAGCAGGGAGGGGGCCCAAGGGTGATGAGTAGCAGGCCTTGGCAGCCCCGGGAGCCAAGTCTCCTCCAGGGAGCCCTGGGCCCCATGGGAGAATGCAGCCTTGGCTGGGAGTGGGGAGCAGGACCCAGACGCCAAGCCCAGTGGGGCACAGCCGTGGTGTCTGTGCTGCCACTTGAGGCTGGAGAGCAGCCCCTCCACTTGGCCGCCGGGCCTGTTCTCGTGTCTGCCGCAGGCTGGACCAGTGCACTGTGGAGGGCGAAGGGCCCTGGCCTAGGTCAGGCCTTGAGGAGGGACGCCTGGGGCCCGGAGATGGGGGCGAGAGCCCAGGGCTTGGAGCAGTAGACGGGGTTGGAATCCCACCGTGGCTGCCCAGTGTGGGACCCTGGGTGAACCTCAGAACAGCCCCTTCCTGGGTGAAGGGATGGTGTGAGGAGCTTCCTTCCTGGCCATGGGGATAGAGGGAAAAAGGGTTTCTCTGATAGTGGAGGGGCCTGCCCCCAGCCAGGGGCACCCTGGTCTCAGCGCCCAGGCCCTGGTCCGACACACCTCCCCCTTTCTGGTTCCACAGGCCTGATCACGTCTGCCTACAGTGTCATACTCCAGCCCCCAGATTCCTTCCTGGAGGGGGTGGCGAGGACAGGGCGGTACACGTTTACTGCAGGTGAGCGGGCCTTGGCTGCTCCTTAGGGGCCCTCGCGGCACTGGCCCCTGGGCCCTGACTCAGCGCTCACCCCCCCACCCGCACCCCAACAGCCGCCATCGGAGCCATATTTGGCCTTACCTCCTGCCTCAGCGCCCAGGTCCGAGAGAAGCCTGACGACCCCCTGAACTACTTCATTGGAGGCTGTGCCGGAGGCCTGACCCTGGGAGCACGCAGTGAGTGA